TAAGAGGGGGTCATTTTCTCTAATCTCTTGAGAGAGCTTTGCAGATTATTTTAAGGTCTACATTTAAAAGAGAATTGGACGATAGCTTGAGGGAAATAAAGGGTCTTTGCCTGGTTTTAGCAGGAGACTAATGTTGGCAGAATTCATATTTGGTGGTAGTCTGCCATTTTCCTCGATTTCCTGCAACATGCTGTGGAATACTGGTGCCAAAATTGTCCAGAATTCTTTGTAGAATTCTGCAGGGAAGCCGTCTGGACCTGGAGCCTTATTATTGGGCATACTTATCAGGGCTTCCTGGAGTTCACTTGGCGTCAGTGGCGATCCAATTCCATTGCTTGACTGTCTAGTAATTTTGGAGAGTTACGTTGTCAAGAACAGATCAATTTCATTTTAGATGGGTTTATTTGTGGTGAGTATAAAGTTTCATAGAATCCCTAAAAATGTTGTTTATTCTTCAGGTCATATATTGTGTTCCCGATAAATCTTTAGCAGCACATATAGTTGTTTTTTCTTTATTTATTTTTAGCTGGTTAGCTAGAAATCGACCTGATTTGTTACTGTGTTCAAATTCTGCAAGCGAAGTCTTTGTTAAGGAATTGTGTTTTTTATTTATAGTTTCATTTAATTTTAGTTTTGTTTTGCATATTTTGTTCTGTTTCTGATTTGGTCGCACGCGTAGGCTCTTCTAGTGATTTGATGTTTTTTTCTATTCCTGAATATTTTTGTTTCTTCTTTCTTTTTGTGTGATGAGAAAGAAATTATTTTACCTCTCATCACAGCTTTCCCTGCTTCCCATAGAACAGAAGCAGATATTCCGGGAGTGTCATTAAAGTCTAAATATGAAGTCCATTCCTTTTTAAAGTATTTAATAAAGTCTTCATCTTTAAGTAGTGATATATTAAATCTCCAGTTTTTACTTGGCGTAGTATTATTCTTGTGCATTAGTGTTAAAGATACAGGAGCATGTTCGCTGACAGCTATAGGATGAATCTCAGTGTCTGAAATGTCACACAGCAGTGAGCTGCTGACCAAAAAATAATCCAGACGAGAGTAAGAGTGATGAACATGCGAGAAAAAAGTATATTCCTTACTGGTGGGGTGAAGAGAGCGCCATGCATCGCAAAGACCAAGTCGCTCATATACTGTTTGATTATATTTGTGGACTGCCAATTACGCTGAGTTCCTGTTGTGTTGAGCCTATCCATTTCTTCATTTAGTCCAAGGTTGAGGTCACCGCCAAGAATGAGTGTGCAATCAAGGTGTTCAGAGAGTGCACTAAAAAAACCGTGGAAGAATGAGGGTTCATCAACATTTGGACCATATATACTAACAATACATAGTTTTTTGTTCAATATTGATAGTTTAATAATTAGAAATCTACCCTCTGGATCTATAACTGTATCGAGTACTGTAAAATTAACATTTTTATGTATTAAAATTGCTACTCCCGTTGTCTAGAATTATAACCGGCTGCAACGCGTTAGGAAACTCAGGTGTTTTAAGTTCGTTTAAACCTGTGACAGGTTTGTGAGTTTCTTGTAATAAAACAACATCTGCCTGTAGTTTTTTAAGCTGGTTAAATATTTTTAACCTCTTTCCTCTGGTGCCAGCTCCATTTACATTCCATGTGACAAACCTCAGCATGCCCTTAATTGTGCGTGTATGTTTAATGATGTATGCTGGGTGTTTCGTTTAGACAGGTGGAGAGAATATGGAAACATCCCTTGTTTGTAAATAGAAAGAGAAAAAGAAGTGTGGTGAGAGACTCCATAAGTCTGACTATGTTGTGATATTCACTAATATGAACAAGCGTGGCTTGCTTATGTGTCCTGCAAGTCTGTGCGTGCTGTGAGGCTGTTGTGAATGTGCTGCCGTTGAGCTGATGTGTTTGCGTGATCGTGTTGTGAAAATATGGAGAAATAGAGGGTGTTGTTTGTAGGTGAGTGGGGAAGTAGGTGATCACAGCAGTGAAGACAGAGAAAGAAAGAAACCACATGACTGTGAGCGACAACAAAAAAAGGAAACGAAACGGAAACATTCCAATTAAAGCAATGACGGAGGGTGACGGTGTTATATCTGCTATGACATCCTACTGATATTACTAGGTTAAACACATTTTAAAGGAGAAAGTGTGAATGAATAAGAAAAGAGTGTAGCGGGTTCTTATCTGGAGTGCAGTCAGTATAACCACGGTGTGGTGCCGGGGTCGCGGTACAGCTGTCCGTCCACGTAGAGCCGGTCCACAGCGATGACAGCACGGGAGCCTTTCTGGATAAAGCTACGTCGAACTGGGAACAGGACCTTGCGTCGTTCCAGGATCTCTTTGGGGAACTGGTCGTTCACGCTGAAGTCCGTTCCTTTCAGCTCTCTGCCGCGACTCTTCACCTGTTCCTTTTGTTTGAATTGGCTGAATTTGGCCACAATAGGCCGTGGTCTCCCGGTCCGCGACCTCACGCCCCCCAAGCGATGTACTCTATCGAAGTCGATGTTCTTTACGGTGTCCTCCGGCAGCTTCAGGTGGATTTAATGAAGCTTTTCACCGTTGCCTCTGCGTCCTCTCCGGCAGTTTCTGGAATACCAGAAAACACAAGATTATCTCTCATGCTACGGGCTTGTAAATCGATAACGGACTCTTTATTTTTTTATTTTCAATGTTTAGCTGGGTCACGTTATCGGTGAGAGATTTAACCGACTCCCGTAGCGTGGCATTTTCAGCGGCAAGCGTTTCCACCTGCCGCTGGCTGAATTCCAGGGATTCTCTCAGAGATTTAAATTCCCGGTGTAAGATCTCCACCAGGGACAGCCTCGCATCGAAACTGGACAATCGCTTGTCGATGGACTCCAGGATTTCTGCGATGTCTTTGCCGGCAGGCGATGTTGTACCGGGGGAGTCTGCCTGGCGACTTCTCTTCGATGACGGCGTCTCGATTTTGGCCGGGGAAGATGCACTCTGGGCCTTATGCATTACTAAATCTTGAAAACAGCGGTCGATGTAATCTTGGAGAGCGTCTAAACTCTCCCCGTTGTCCTCCAGGGTGTTAGAGATGATAAAACAGATGTTGTTAGTTATATGACAATTGATTAGTATATTTGGAAAATATTTGGAAATACTGAAGCTTGGAAAACCTTTGTTAAACTCTATGCTACCATTTGCTTTTTCTCCGCCAAAATCTCCGGCGTCTGACGTCACCTACAACATCACTTCCGTCACTTACCTCTCCTAACAACAAAGTCTTATGAGGTAATGGCAGTCCAATGCTCCAATGGCAGTCCAATTTGCTATGCAAATACTCAGCACTCACCCAACGTGAAGACAGAGATAAATAGACACTGTACACACAATCACACTCCCCAAACGTACTCTATGCCCCAGGTCTAGGTACCTTTGCCCCTAGAGGGGGAAACTGCACCCAGACCCATGTCATTATAGAGCTTGCTTTGAAAAACTGGTGCGCAGTCATGTTGGAACAGAAAGGAACCATCCTCAAACTGTTCCCACACAGTTGGGGGCATGAAATTGCCCAAAATGTCATGGTAAACTGAAGCATTTACAGTTCCTTTCACTGGAACTAAGGGCTCACACTATAACCCCCCCCACCTAACTTTACGCATGCAACAGTGCAGTCAGACATGTACTGTTCTCCTGTCAACAACCAAAACCAGACTCGTGGGTTTTTTGTCAGTGGATTACATCTTTAACAGAAAATTGGCAAAACATGACAAAAGAACCCACAAAATCTGTTAAAAGACTGTGATGTGGTCATTTTCTGTGCTATAGAATAAAAATAAAGATGAGCTAAAGTTAATCTTAACCAGGTCAAAGTAAACAAAGTGGTTGTTTTGCATCAATCCTAGATTACCAGAAGAAGAACAGGAAAAGATGGTGGAACGGGCTATTTGTCCTTATGACTTTCTGCTCAAAGCGTTAGAAAGACTAAGAAAGGTAAAGGTTGGAAGAAAAGACTAAAGTGGACTCTAGTAATCCATTAAAAATACTCTCTGCTACAATTTAATGTACATATGTGCATAAAATTAAGTTTAGGGATATTGTGCTCACAAAATAGTTTTGGACGTTAAATCCTTTTGCACATCTGATGGAAAATCCAGTTCTTCCCTTCTCTGTTTTAAGTTGACCTACCTAAGTGAATGGCTCCATAGACTCATGTTTGTCTTTATCTCTATTGACTTTTTCTATTTAATCCTCTATTAAAAGATATTTAATGCAGTTTACCAAATGCCAATGGACACTTCTCCCATTCTTGTCTTTCTTCTTACACCTTTCCCCCTCTCCGAGTGAAGCTATCTCACAGTCTTTTCTTTGTGAAATGAAACACACCAGTAGGCTTTTAGCCAGCAGCAGACTGTGTGGCCAACATACAAACAGTTTATATGTTTGCTGATGTTTGCTGAGCTGATAGAAACGCTGTATTTGTTCCTGCCACTTTATGCAACATTTAATCACGACCAACCGCAGCATCGCACACAGTGCAAGAGTGATGACTTCAGCACTTGTGATGCAGTTTGCTTTATCCTCATCTTCCATGTCACCAGCTGCACCGTACAGTGGTTGTGGTTTCAGTTTTAATTGCCTCCCCTGCATTTCTCAGCTTTTGTTACAAGCAAACCTCAGAGCGACTGCAGATTTCCCCCAGCCTTGCAAACCGTAACATTTCCATTACAATCTCTCTATAAAATTTGTAATGTGAGTAATAACTTTATGGTTTGAAACTGTTTTGTGTAACACATCTTTAACTTCATTGACTCTATGTGTCATGGTCCGGAGTCTGTGACTCCGTGTTTATGTTTAGTTTATTATTATTCTGTGGTTTTGTTTATCTTAGGTTTTTGTACTCTTCTGTTTCACGTTTCATGTGCCGATATAGGTGTCCTCCAGTCTGTGTTCAGTCGGTGTGTTTCCTGTTTTACTTTGAAGGTCTCTGTCTGATGTCAGTGTGTTCTGTTTACGTTTCCCCTGCCTCGTCAGCTGTTATGTCTCCCAGGTGTGTTTCCCTCCTGTTTCCCATCCCCTGATTACTGGTGAGTGTATTTATAGTGTGTGTTCCCCCGTCCTCGTTGCTGGTTCGTCTGTGTTGTTCCCCTCCATCTTCCTGCGTATCCATCTCTGTCCATCTCTGGGTTTGGTTTGTTAGCTGTTCCAGTTTCGTTTCTTCTCGCCATGCCGTTTCTGTTTGTATGTCATCCTCCTTACTAAATAAAGTTCACTCTCATCACAAGCCGCATCTTGGGTCCTTATCTACAACTCCACACGTCTGCCACGCTAGACGTGACACTATGGCTTTTTTCATTTTTGATACATTACTTATCTTAAAAATACAAATGTAGGGTGGAGGAGAGAGACTTTGTAACACCCAGCAAGTAAGTGCTGGCAGAGGCTCCAGTACCCCTGCCAATAGATAAGAAATTGCATGAGTGGATAGAAATGAAAGTATAAGTCAGACCAAAGTATAAATGTTTATGTGGAAACTCGTTTTTATTTAAAGAAAATTGATTTTTTTGATGTTTAACTTTCACAGGGCATATAAGAAGAAATAAATAATGGTATAAAGAAATGTGACTCAGACAGAGTTTAGAAACACTTCCTCTTCAGCAACAGAGATGACTCCATACACATACACATAGCTGTTTGCTATGTACCAGAAGTGAAAGTACAAGATACAAGCTTTTGTTCTTTACATCAAAGCAAAGCACTGCAACATCAAGACAACATCGCCAAGATGATTGACAACGACATCGTACTTGAAGCACTGGGGGTGATCTGCAATGCTAAGATAACTTCTGTTCAACAAAAACAAGGAGAAGTTGGCATCGGTTCTGGTCTTCTCGAAGCTTTCAAAAATTTGTTTTTCACAGCTCCTGCTACGCAGCTGCCTGTTACGCAGCTCATTTCTACAGTTGTGGATGGAGATCAAACTTGGTAAATGTTATACTAAACCTCTGATAACAACTACTTTAAATGTCATTACTGAAACAGGATTGTAGGTTTTTAAAAGGATTAGGCTTTAGAATAGAATTACTGGTGCAAAAAATGTTTCAAAAATAATTTAGATGACACTAGTAAAACTGTGACTGTGCCGAGACTCAAAGTCAGGTTGTAGTTTCGAAAACCCAAAGAAGTTTAATCGTTTCACAACAGGATAGAAAAATATGTGTGCTCATTTTTACCTGCATTTCACTTTATATAGTGTAAAAAAAAAGTCCAATTAAAATCCACCATTTTCATTTTCAACAGCTAAAATTTCAGATTGTTCAAACTTCTGAGACATAACTCATTAACTTTTGTAAAACAGCATGACCTATAAGCCATGCATAATCTGATTTAAAATATATTTAAGTCGATGACATGAAAAGACAGCTGATCTGCTTTGGAACTTTATGCTTACAGCTCGGTGTCACAAAGCAGCTTGATGAGGATTGATGGGCACGTGTCTTCTGGATTGCCCGGGAATATAGGTATTAAAGGTTTTCCAGCAAATAAACATGTATCAAAATTTGAAATAGAGGAAAGAAATGGAAGGCGTTTCATCATCAACGAGGAAGAATTCTTTGACCCCAGATTTCACTACGACTTTACTGGAATGAAAGACACAGATACCTTTTACAGAGGTGACGAAGAGTACTGGCGTCCCTATGGTTGGCAGCGTTTTGCTATCAAGGTAAGTATCCCTTTGAAGCAGCCATGTTATTCATGTTCAGCATTTAAACTGCTATAACTGGTCCTTAAACACTATCAAGCACTGGATGATACTGATACTCACTGAAAAAGACGCATTATGAATTCAATGATACCACCGTAAAAGTTACTTATAAAAAATGAAGTGTATAATGAAATGAAGCATATAGTATATGAAATATATAGTAGAATAAAATCAAAAGATGGTTCACAATGTTATTAATAGATCATTTAGAAGCATTACAATGACATTGATATCAAAATATAGAGTTGGTTTTGTTTTCTGTTGCTGGCTTTATTAGAAACTTTCAACTAGCGGCTGTGATGAACAAATAAAATGCAGACTTTTTTCTCTTGGTAGATACAGTGGAAGGAGGGCTGTGACTTCAATAGATTGTCAAAAGAATTTATATTATATTTCACGGGAAATCAGAATAATGACAATAATAATTTTACTTTTACTTTTATTTGACTTTTTAAAATTTGTGTGTAAAACACGTGTTTAACTTTTGCAAAGATAATCTATGGACTGTCTGAAACAAACAAAAGCAGTTTTGATGACCTCAGACCGACAGACTGTGTCTTCGTACTCGAGCTGCGCCCTCTAGATAGCATCCTCTGCTCTTATGTCCCACTGCCCCATCCATTCCAGCCTCTAGATACAAAACAAACAAACAGATGCAGAAATAACTACAGATAAAGAGATAACTTTTGGCTCTTTGACCTATCAAAAGCGATAGTTTTTTTGTTGTTGTTGTTTTTTTTGACTGTGTTCTGCTATGAGTTGTGCCCCTCAGCTTACGTAACTCTATGAAGCTATCATCTGTTATAACATCATAACAGATTTTCTTGCATGAAAACATTTGATCACAGGTCCTGGATAAGTATGATGGAAATGAATGGCTCGGCACAGCAGGCTATCGCACTCGGTCAGTGTCAGGGGAGTGGCCTGTGTCCTACCATGGGACATCTTATGACTCTGCTTGTGACATCATCAAAGGACGTTTCAAGGTTTGATTACATCATCTCTGGTACTGCAGTATTTTAACCAGTGAAAATATGATACGATGCTTTAATATGGCAATACTTTTTTACATGCCTAGTAAGCCTCCTCTGTCAGGAAGTCTGTGTCTCCATCATCTCCATGATGACTTCCCATGATGCAATGAGCATTTCATCTCCACTCCAATTGCTGTATAGTTATTTGACACAATATCTTAAAATATTTCATGAATGTTTATCTTCTGTCTGTCTGTGTTTTTGTCCTCTTGTTGTTTGTTGGTCTTTCTCTGCTTCTCTTTCCCTCAGCCCCTGATCAGTATCTACTGAAATTTCAATAGATTTCATCTTCAGTAGAAGCAGAACATAACAGAAAAACACAATACGTGTTAACAAAGACTGTGATGTGCTCATTCCCTATGCTGTAGAATAGAAACGTGATCTACTGTTAGTTATTGTACATCTTTAACTAAATAAATAAATAAAATGGTTAAAAATGACTTAAAGTTTATCTTATTCAGGTCAAAGTAAATAAACTGTAACATTCTCTAAATTATCTAAATCTCTAAATTAATTTCTAATTCCTCTCACTTTATTTAACAGCCAGGTCACCGTGACGTCTATGGTAGAGGGGTTTATTCTACACCTGACATCGAAGTGGCCCTCAAATACTGTAAAGATTTCAAGTCCAAAAAAAACGGCAAGACGTACAAAGTGATTCTGCAGAATCGGATCAACCCCAGATACAGAGAGAAACACCACAATGATAAGTACTGGCTGGTTCCCATCAATGATAGAGTATCAAAAGAAGAAGAGGAAAAGATGGTGGCGCGTGCCATTCGTCCCTATGGCCTTCTGTTGAAAGAGTTCTAAAAGACCAAAACGGTCACTAGAGGTCGCAGAAAAGCCAAATAAAGACTAAAGCAGACTCTAGTAATGCTCTGTGCTGCAATGTAATGTGTAGTAAACCCTAAAATTTTTTATTTACCCGCATGCATAAAAATGTTTGTGGAAAGAGAAGTGAAGTTAAGGGGTTATTATTATGCTCACAAAACTGTTCTCACTAAGAAATTCAGGTAGACGTTCAATCCTTCTTTGTTCTTATGAGCTCTGAAGAACTGGTGGATGATTTGTAATTCCTTGATGAGATCTATTACCAGTGTTAGTCAAGTTACTTGAAAAAAGTAATTAGTAACTAATTACTGATTAATACTCCATAAAAGTAATCCATGATACACAACCTGAATAAATAATAAAGCAACAGACCTTTCAGCCCAATTCTACTTTTTCTGCATAATCCATCAAATAAAATTGAATCTTTTAAAAACTTGTTTTATCAGTTTTAATCTTCTAACTTTTATGCACATTGCATTAAGCAAATATAAAATTATGTTCAAAAGTCTTTGACTTGAAGAAATTTGTTTAACATTTAAACCTATTTTCTGCATATTCCCACATATAAAATAAAATAATTTTTTGTGTTTACACTCACTCTTTCAAATAGATGCAAGTAAAACACAGCAAAAAATAAATAGAATCAACGCTCAGAGTCACTAAGTCCTGTCGTTCTTAAATCTATCTTCACCTGTTAAGCAGGAGTGGGGCGGGTGGAGGTTTGCCCGGTGCCACAGTAGTCATGTCAGTGGGGGTATCCGGGGGTTTCTCTGTGAATTTCACATTCCTGTGGCAGCGTGCTCGGTGCTTGCTCAGATTTCAAGTTAAATTTTTCGCTGTAGAAAGACATTTTCTTCCCACGCAGAGTGTACAGCGGATGCTCATATTTTAGTCACTTTTTACCGACTAAAGTAATGTAAGTACGTCCAAGCTTTAAATGCTGCATAGTCGTACTCTGTCCTGCACTCCATACTATCCATTGTTGATCTACACAAGTCTGTTGCTGCCACAGGTGTCGCACGTGCTTATGTCATTGTCATGAGACACTCTCACAAACAAAATCACGGTTTAGTAACGCAGTAAAGCGGCGTGCTTACTGGAAAGTAACAGTAATCTATTTACTTTTTTTGCGATAGTAATCCCTTATATTACTCATTACTTGAAAAAAGTAATCGGATTACAGTAACACATTACTGCTGTTAATTCCAGTTCTTTGAATTCTTAGGGCCAAGAAAGACACGGCTCAAAAGTGGTCCTTTTACTTTAAAAATGATCTTTAATTAACATATCCTGGATATGGAGACCTGAACACACGGACACACAAGCTCAGGTCTGAAGCACAAAACAGGAAGCCTAGTCATTTATATACTTGCTCTCTACATCATACCACACTTTAAGTTTCAATCAAACAGCCTAGTTGGTTTCACTTTCACTTCATTCTAGCTGCAAAAGCAGGCTTCTGCAAAAGCATGTAATTTCCTGTCAGTCCTGTCGGCACAAACTGTACTAAGAGTTGGGCCTCTCTTATCCAGAAAAAATATAATAGCAGATAAGCCGATTATATTTTTAAATTCCAACACTGCCCATCTCTGTCTATAATAGCTCTTAATTGCACACGATCACACATTTTTACCAAAATATGTATATATCTAGTTGACCTGCTCCTTTTTTCTCATTTCTCATTTTCACAATTTAAATGCATTAAAAATGAAAAAAACTCCCCATCATTTATAATATTGCACTTTGATTCATGCTAATTTTATAAATAATGTGTTCCTTTGCTTTACTCTTTTTGAAGTGTGAAAAAAAGCATCTCCAGAAATTATTGTTTGTACTTTTTGCTGCAAAAGTGTTTCTTTGATGCTTGTTGTTCTTGCATGAGGGGAGAGAAAATCTAAAGTGTAAAAATTGTTTAAGATGAAATTATGTACGTTTAAATGAAATGCAAGCTTAGAGCAGAAAATTGTAAAAGGTTTGATATTTGTGCAATTTTACTTCTCAGATTTTGAAGATTTTAGATGTTTGTCACTAGTAAATATGCTTTTAACTATGTATATTGAGTTCCTTTAAATGTCCCAACATTCTAATCAGTCTAATTTGTAAGTGGGAAGTTACTGAGCTCTTTTTTGTCACAATATCTATATAAATATCCAGTAAGCAGGAGTTCACTGGGTAAAAACAGCTTGAGCTAGAGGTCAGAGAAGAATTGCCAAACTGCTTCATGATGATAGGAAGGTCATAGTCCCAAGTGAGAGTGTGTCAGGAAGCGTGTCCTGTGTGATATCTTAAGTAAGTCAAACATGTAGATCATCGAGAAGAACATTTCGATAACGGATTAGTCAGATCTGTGGACAACACCAACAACCTCTGATGCTGTTGAAAGGCATGTTCAGAGGCATCAAGAAAGACGGAAAGGCAAGGATGTAAGGAGAGGTAGAGACCAGGTGAAAGGGGAGCAAAGCCAGGCGCTACTAATGCTCTAGTCCGCTGTCGCTAGGAAGAGAGATAGAGCAGGTGTCATCTTGAAGGAAAAACTTGTGTTTTGGAGGTGAAGAAAACAGAGGTGAAGAGGAGGTGTTGGTAGGTATGATGTTAAGGAGAACAATGCTGAAGAACAGAAGGTAGTGGATCTTGTGAAAAAGATGGAAATGGCCGTGATGAACACTGATGGGGTTTGCAGAATGTACTCCACCATACAAAATACACTGAATCCTGGCAAAGGTACTTCTTGACACTGGGCTGTTAGAAAAATGCTACATTTTCATTAGAATTTCTTGCTTTGTACAAACTAAATATAAAAGTGAAAAACAAGTACATTTTTGCCACCCGCTGGGAAACTAGTCAGGTTTTTAATATATAATTTGGTTACTAGATTGTTACTAAATTTGTTAGTAGATAATTGATGAGATACTAGATTATTAACAGACAGTCAAACACCTTCTCCATATACAGATTAGTATTACAGAAAAAATATAACATTTTAAAATATAAACAATATACTATTAATATATTTATATTAACAATATATATTAGCAGTAGATGTGCAGGGAATGGGAGGGAAGGTGCACGAAAAGCAAAAACATGTCATCGTTTCTGTCACTCACAAACAGGTGAAATATAAATTTAAAAAAAGAAATATCTGCAGGGTGAAAGGTATCGGATTTACAGAAATGTTACCAAGAGACAATGGGAAGGAAAGAAAATGCCTTAAGCCTAGGATAGAACAAGTTTGGAAAGTTGGAAAAGTGTCCCGTTTCTGTGGCCCTTTTGGATACATTGAAGGTCAGTTTGGAATTGATGGATGAAAGTGTGTTTGTTTTTTGAAAAGTGAAAATATGTGATGGTAAATCTATCTGGAAGATTGGCTATATGTTTTAATAGCATTCTTCTCATCTGATAGAAATCAAAATCATCCAAATGTATGATTTATTCCTCATGACATAGACATAGACACATAGCACTCCACTCTTTTTGGCCTCAGGCTTGGAGGTGCTGATTCTCGTTCCTGCTGCTTCACATTAGGCTGCAAACCTCTCTAGTGTGAGCTGGAGGCCACCACCTGATGAAGTCAATGGAACCACATCATCTGCAAAAAGCAGAAAGCTATTCTGAGGCCAACAAAGTGGAGGCTTTCTGCCATCTGGCTATGCCTAGAAATTCTGTCCATAAAAATTATGAACAGGAGTGACAAGGACAGCCCTTTGTTCCCATTTATTCTACCTGAAACTATTAAAATTGCCATAAACATTCCTAACAGCCTGAAAGAAGATTTGAAACAAGGAGAAAATTTCATGAGAACGCTGGGCTTAAAATCTGTTGAAACAGGTCTTATGGATTGATGATTCAAAAGTTTTTGATTTAAATCAATGTAAGTATGTACGGAGGAGGTTAGAAGAAAGGTACAACAGTTTTTTATACCCATCCAATAACCATGGTGTATGTCACAGTTTGTGGCTGGAACCTGGAGCCTGGAGAACTATTCCTAAAGACATTAAAGAAAAAATTACAAGCTTGTAAAACAGAGTTCAGGCTGTGCTGAAAAATAAAGATGGTCATACCAAATATTGACTTTGAAGCTCAATAGAATAGTTTTTGCCTTTTACTGTACATGTGTATTCCCACCTATGTTTGCGCATGTTTCAATAAATCACTGCACTTATTTTCCGTTTTACTGGCAAAATATAGAAAAAAGAAAGGAGGCTCAAGTCTTTTTCAGTGGATTGTGAACCACTAAAAAAAGTGAATGTGAACGTACGGAGAGAAAGCGAGAGGACCCTGGGTGAACGTGCCTGTGTGATTTTACTCCATATCCCGGCATCCACCGCGGCACCGCCCTGTTATCTCATTGACGGTCAGCGGGGAGGCCTTTCCACATCTAGCTACATTAAAAAAAACCCAACAACAACCCAAAAAACTTGAGCACTGTGTACATACCTGATGGTAAGTGGATATCTATGTCATGTTATTTCAACTCGCAAACAGTATATGTGTTGAGTAAAACCAACACAGTTTTGTTAGGGTTAGCGTATGTTAGTAGCAAGCTGCTCATCCTGGACTAGCTGTATCAAAGTGCTTTCCGGTGTCCCAGCCAGAGCGGAGCTCAGATTGGGGAGTTGATAGTTTTGTGCTGACGGCTAACATTAATATCATTACTATGCAGCCAAGTCACGGCTGGGGAAACTGAGGAGACTTGGTCTGGCTATGAGTTGCTACATGATTGGTCATATTCCTAACTTTATTGTTAAATGATTAAAACCGCGTAACTTAATTCACCTTGCCCAGACCGCCCTCCTTTGCTAGCTTAACTAGTTAACTTAGCAAACGAATCTCTACCGGGAGTGTTAGCTAAGGCTGACTAGCTCATTCCGCAGCTAACTTAAAATGACGTGCAGGTAACTTCTCGTACCATCTCCTGTTAACAGACCAGCGTGTCTTCTCTGTCTTATGCGTATGATCGTCTTCTGTAATCGGCTTTAAGCTATTTCTGACAGCGCTCTGAGGCAATGAGTAAGTCATGTTTGCTTGCGAAGTTAACATTTTCATGCTTGCTGGCTGGCCTTGAACTCGAGAGGCTGTTGCAGGGACTCAAACATTTTAATGTGCATTTTAACAACGTAGCTGGATAATATATGTTCAAAGTAAGGTGTGCTAAGCGCCACCTTAGCAAACGCTGGGTGGTTTATTAACACTTGCGTAATCCTGTCAAATCCGAACCATGGTTTGATTAACACTGGGGACGCTTTACGTCCCATTAGTGTTGGTAGTTAGCTTTTATTTCATTTCCACTATACTATAAGATAAAATACCACAATCAAATTACAGTGCCATTTCATTATAAAGTTTACAATTGCTTCATTTTACTACAATCTGTTTCAGGACACCTCAAGTGTTTCAATGGAGCTATCAGGAAGTACCACTAGCAACCATACCCTGAACTCAACAGGTGGTGGTTCATGGGAGATCAGTGACAAGGCCAAGCTTTGTCGCTTCCTCTGCTATGGCTCAGAGGGAGCCTTGTACAGTACCAGAGAGAATGGTCACATCAGCGTGGAGAAGACTGGAGCCCTGCAGTCCATGCTGCAGGAGAAACAAGGCACTGAGGTGTTGGAGGAAATAAAAAGGTTCGCTCAGGATGGGCAAGCTGTCAGACTAGAGCCCTCCATTTTTGCCTTGGCTTTGTGCTCCCAAAACCCAGATGTGAACACCAAACAGGCAGCGTTCAAAGCCCTGAAGGATGTTTGTCGTGAGCCTGCCCATCTGTTTTCTTTCATCAAGTACAAGAAGGAATTAAAAGAGCACATGAAATGTGGGATATGGGGGCGTGCCCTGAGGAGAGCACTGTCTGACTGGTACAATGAGCAAGATGCCATGAGTCTAGCTGCTGCAGTGACCAAATGTAAGCAGAGAGAGGGCTGGTCACACCAGGATCTGCTCAGACTCTCCCACACTAAACCAGCTAGAGATGGTAAGTATAGAGACCCACGTCATTTAGCCTGCAAAATGTTATTAGTAATCAGTTGAATAAACGTCTGCAGTTATCCAACTTTCTTCTTTGGGGTTTTATTGGATGTTCTCTGTTCTGAGCATATATGTGCATATTTATAAACGCCCCATGCTGAATTTTAATCAGTACAGTGTAAGTTTTTATTTTGTTTCACTTTAGTCAGTGCTAACATGCAACGCCCATCTCTTTGTGTTTTCAGCTATTGCCTTGATCAGCAAATATGTAACAAAGGGGTGGAAAGAGGTCCAGGTTGCTCATGAAAACAAAGAGAACGCCGAAGAGGTTATCAGGGTGCTTTCATATCTTGAAGTGGTGGAAAAGGTAAAGCACAGTCGGGATGAAACTGAGGTCGTCACTTTAATAGAGGAACACAAGCTTGAGAGGGAACAGCTGCTGACCGAGCATCTGAAGTTTAAACAGGCGAGTCTGTTAAATCATTTTAACCTGGTTGCTGTTTATAACATAGACCGTAGTGATAATTGATGAGATGAATCAGTTTTTACACTTGGGATCTTATTAAGATTAGAAATGCACACGAAATAAGAAGATTTTCAGTGTTCTCAGCCCAAACTGGTGACTGACTCGGCTGAGAACACGTAAAGCAGCGCACACTCATAACCACAGTTTGACAAGTGGGGAAACTGCTCACACTGAGTGACTAGACCAGTGTCCAACGCAGAAAACCACGGGGAGATGACCACAAAAATGTTTAACAACAAATCTAATCACTTAAATCACTTTCACCCAGCTGAACATACGAAGCTAGAAAAGGCAAAGTGGCTAAAGGAATACAGAACTCAGAGAAGGTACAAGCTAGCAGCGTCTGTATGAGCAATCAAAGCTTAAAAATGATTATGAGGAAAATTATGAAGGCAAGTGAAAAACAGATAGGGCTTGTGAAGTTCAAAACAAACTGGGTAGTAATGAAAGCAACTTGTATAGTTTTGTTAAATAAATATATTGTACCTGCTGTTGTTTGGTAAAGTAAAATATGCCATGTAAAGGGGGGTGTACAGCAATTTATTTTCAGTTTAGTTTTTAATCTGTACCTCCTTCCAGTGGTGGCTGTAGAGCAGGTCACTGATCAGAAGGTTGGTGGTTCGATTCCTGGCTTCCCCTAGTCTATATGCCAAATATCCTTGGGCAAGATACTAACCCAAAATTGCTCTCCGATGCATCCATCAGAGTATGAATGTGTGTGAATGTTAGCTATAAAACACTTAGAAAGATGTGCTTGTGCGAATGTGTGTGAATGGGTGAATGCACAAGTTGTGTAAAGCGCTTTGAGTGCTCAGATGAGTAGAAAAGCGCTATATAAGAACCAGTCCAGTAGCAGCACAAATGATAGAAAAGTTTATTTTTTCAGTTCTCAGAAGCTTGTAATCAGCAAAAATCTCCCTCAGCAGTTCACACTAAAAAAAATAAGAAAATTGCATCTTTAATTCAAACAGAGCATTTAGAACAGGGGTGTCAAACATGAGGCTCGAGACCCTGGAAGAGCCTGGCAAAAAGTCCAATCCGGCCCACTGGATGTCTTTGACCCACTGGACTTCCACCTGTATTTTCATAAATTTTACAGCTTGTCCTGCTGATGAAGCCCTCCTACTCACAGTCTTACACACTACATCAGATTATTAAATGAACAGAAAAGTTCCTTTTTTCTTTTTGGGTTTTCAGTACTGATAAAAGAATTCCTGTTTTTTACAGTGTGTCCACAGTAAAATAAATAAAACAACAAAACTTTCTGCTTTATAATTACAGGACAGTCTGGTAAATGAGCTACCAGAATTTCTTTATCATGTAGTAAAACTGAGATGCCCTGTTGAAATTGCACCTCTTTATTTATATTGAAATATTGGAGGGATTAAATGTGCAGCTACACGTAGTTACACTGACAGAAAGGGGACTTTCCTAGGTCTGGCCCACTTAGGATTAAAGTTCTGTTTATCTGGCCCCTGATATAAAATAAGTTAAACATCCCTGGTTTAAAAAGTAACTGCTTTCTTGTTTACTACCTAAACACCAAATATCATAAATGATCTTTACTATCTCACGTCCTGAACTGCTAGGACTTTTTTTTTTTTTTTTTCCAGTTTTTGGCGGTTGGGGTGAGCCCCTTGTAAGTTCCTGCTCACTGCGGAAAAGTGTTCCCTGGAGGGGGAAAAAATCAAAACATTTCTTATCTGTAAAACTGCAATGTTCAGGTAGACTGAAGCCTAATGTAAAGAATGTGGGAATGTATTTTTCTACATCTAACAGGATGTGTGGTGGTTGTTTTCTGCAGGTATGGAGCGCTTTGTTGAAGGAAATGCCTCTCCATTCGGTGGTAAAGATGTTAGGTAGGCTGACATCTGGCAAAGTTCTTGAACCGGGAAGCTCAGAAACACAGTTTTTATGTGACAGAATTCAAAGTGAGACGGCACTAAAACAGGTAAGGCTCACAACTTCTACCAGAAATGTTATTTTGTTTTTAATTATGCAGAGTTCAATATTTAGGAATTAAATGTCTCCTAAAATCACCAGGCAAAGATCCACCCTTTCAGTATACTTTTGGCTACAGAAAACTACAAAAAAGGCCATGGCTATCAGGGTAAACCGAAATGGGAAGCAGACCGCAACATCCTTAAAGCTATGGACTCTGCCTTTTACAAGAGCTTTATGGTATGTTGTTGTAATTTTCAAAACTTTCTCCAGTTGTTGCAGAAGATGTCAGCAGCAGTTCTTTAACGTGAATGTCCTGTTCTGCTGTAACTCTGTCCTCAGAATGTGGAGCCTGTGGGTAAATGCTTTGTTGTGGCAGTAGATATGAGCGGGTCACCGAGCAGCATTGTCCCAGGAACGTCGATCAGCACTGCTGCTGCTGCAGCCGCTATTGCCATGGTAAGACTGTACTACAGCCAGATGATGCTATCTGGTTAGTTGGAACAGCTGCATCTTCAAACAGGGCTCAGGCTGCCCCATCTTTAGAGAGATCCTGGGTGATGGCATGGGACTGTTGACGCATACTGTGAATTCCCTGAAAATTCCTTTCTCAGTATGTTAGCGCATAGGCCCTAACAGTGGTGTACTGTGTGTGAATGTGCATGCAGGATAAAGGCATTTTAGTCAGGGTAACTAAATGGCTTTCTTTTGACCTTGGCTTTGACACAGATTTTTGCAAGGACGGAGGCTGACACACATGTGCTTGTCTACTCTGAAGAGGCTATGGTACCATTCTCTATTTCTGCTGATATGACTCTCAAAGAAGCAACCGATGAACTGGTTAAGGTAAGGCTTTACAGAACATTAAAGGTGACGAGATAATACGAGCGACTGAACAGTTCCTTTCAGGAATATACAATACAATATTTGTTGCAGACGAGCAACTAGAGGCATTTTTTTTCTTCTTCTTCTTCCACCTTCACATCAAAGTACTGCAAAGCAGTGCTGGTTAGCTCAACTACCACCTGTTTATTGTCCTCTCACATAGAGCACGAGAGAAAGGGGTGCACAGCCATCAGGTAGTGCCTTTATGTTGCAGTTCCAGAGTGAGAGCAGAGACTGCACCGTTCCCATTCAATGGGCCACGGAGAACAGGAAAGCTGTAGATGTGTTCGTCACTTTGAGCAACAACCCACTGTGGACGCTTACTGCCAGCCTGGTGGAGTCTCTGAAGAAGCACAGAGAAGTATGTTTGTTTTTTCACATCTGGGGTTGAATTAAATAATGGCCTTGTGTGGTAAAGATTGTTTTTGAACATATACAATACCAAGCAAAGATTAACGGGATGGGGTTGTTGTGCTATTTTTATTCACATTGTTCCATAGATGGCTGATAGGGCACAGTTAATTTTACAGCATTAAAAGTTCTCCTTTAAACTCCTTTATCTAAAAGGTTACTTAAAATATGTACTAAGTGACGATGACAAATGTAACATTTTTACAATAAACATGGTTTGTGTATATTCTCAACAGACATCAGGAGCTAATTCGAAGCTGGTGATGTGTAACCTGACTAACATTGGAATTGCCATCCCAGACACAGAAGACCGGGGTTTGCTGACCATCTCTGGCTTCGACCTTGGAGCTTTTAGTGTCATTCGTAATTTGGCCCAAGATCTGATCTGATAAGATTTCTGGGACTTTTCTTGAGAAATGTAATGAGTGTAGAATATGAAGGCAAAGAGTGGACCAATGAGGCTCATTTAGCATGTAGAGTGTCCCAAAACAGCACTAATCCAAAAGATGCTGACAATTTCAATTCCAGTTTTTCTTTGTTTTCTCTTGCTCACCATTCAGTCGACAAAGTGTCCAGCAGGCTGGACAACACTTTGGAAATGTAAAATGCATCTATATTTCGTGAAAATTGAATAGCAAGTGATTAAGACATGGTATGTGTTAATGTTTTTAAGAGTCTCTATATGATCAGCTGTTCAGTACTTTGGTGGATTTTGATGGATCGTGATTTAAGTGGGGGAAAAATGAACCAATTCAACATTTGTAGCAAGAGGTTGGCAGGTTAAGGGGAACACTGCAAGAGTCAGTCATAGGGTGTTTGCAGATGTAGGTTTACTTCGGGGGGATTACCTGTAGTTTTCAACATGCATGCAGCAACATGCAGTTAGCAGGTTTGATGTAGAGATACTTAACATCAATGAAAGAGAAACCTGACACAAAGCACACAAAGTCAATGGTAAAACTTGGAGTTGCTTTTTATTGTGTTAATTTCACAGATTTCTTAGATCAGAAAAGTTTTTTCAAGTATTAACATCTTGGATTCCTTTTACACAGTCTTTGCTTTAGCTTAGCCACAAATTTTAGTTGTTCTAACATTTGTTTGACCCTAAGCCCAGTTTATTGTTTTAAAGCTGAGTTTTCTGTTTTCTTCTCGTGAGGTTATACTTTAAAAGAAATGTGGTGACACTTTTTATAAAGTAAATTTGGATTCAGTTTTAACAACACACTAATGCCAATGTTTGGGGGTTTTTTTGTTTTTTTTTTGAAAAGTTTGTGTTTCAGTCTGAATTCTATGCATCAGAATTTACATTTTACTGTAATAAAGTATCTGGAAAGGACCAATCATAGCTCTCTGATACCCGTTACCTTATCTTTAATGTGACATTGTTCGTTCTGAAAACTGCTACCTTTCCAGAAAACTTGATATGAATGAATTATTGTGAAAATTATTTGAATGTACTTTTATAAAACCTGTAATGGTCAATTTAAAAAACGTTTTATATTTCTCCAGACACAGAATAAACGTGCACAGCTTAGAGTTTTAGAGACAGGGCCTGTTAATTTTTGAGGAAATGTAAACAAATGATTACAGTGGTGCTTTTTGTTTTAGTCAACAGTAATAATTACTGAGAATATTCAGTAAGCTTTACTTATCACGGTGTCATTTAGTCTTCATAGAATTAAAAGAAAAATACACACTGACCATGTAACTGTGAAGGATGTTTGTCCCAACATGCTGATGTTTTCATTTTTAATTTTAAAGCAACATCCACAGTCTTTTTGGTCAACATATAAAATATTTATAACATGACTGTTGACACAGCGTTTTAGGAGATGGACATGAGATTTGGTCGTTCTCAAGTGTTTCACAACCATTCTGTTGTATCTGTCCTGCTTAACATGTACCTACTGTAGCGGCGATGTAAAGCCCTTCCTAATAAACAACTTGCTGCTCTGGAAATGCGCTTTCATTTTACCAATAACTGCCTGAGTTGTTGAACTGATACATCACTGTGATCAAAGTAAAGTTTACAGTTTAACCTCCTAAGACCCCGAACTCTTCCACGGCATGCATCTTTCATATTTGGGCATATTGGGGCCCAATGAATGTAAAAACAAAGAATTACCAGATTTTTTGTTTTTTAACAAAAATAAGAGCCACATATGAGGATATTCATTAAAATTTCGATAGAACAGTAGCAGTATTATGTCCTTGTAAGTGGATATCAGGCCCTTGTAGAGCAAAATTGAATATTTTGGTCTAAATACCCCAAAATGTGCCGTCCACACATGTGGACGCCAGGTCCTAGGAGGTTAAAGCGGGTCAAGATCAGGCATCTAGAGAGGCCGCACGACGTTGATAACTAGGGGCCTCGCAAACACACTGCTCTACACACATACAACTGAAGATGGCGGATGTGTTGAGTGTTCTTCGTCAGTATAACATCCAGAAAAAGGAGATTGTTGCTAAAGGAGATGAAGTTATATTTGGGGAGTTCTCCTGGCCCAAGAATGTCAAGACCAACTACATAATCTGGGGGTATGTCATAAAACACAAAATCTTTAATTATTAGTGCAACAGGAAGGTCTTTCCCATAGACTACTTTACTAGCTTTCATGAAAGCTAATGTATGTCCTTTAAACTTAGCTCGAGAGAGGAAAAGCCAAACTTGTAGTATTGTGTAATGCTAATTAATCATGGACGTAGCTCAGAGTTGTTTCACGGAGTCAGAAATCCAGAGAGTCGAGTTGAAACACCTGTGTGTTTGTTTTTCTCTTTTAGTCCCTACAGTCATGACTATAAACGTCTTTCTTCACCGTGCAAAAACCAAACTTTGTGCATGTGACGCAGAAACTGAAGTTGCAAGGAGCAGTGCTTTAGCTAGCAGGAGAACCGTTGACAGTGGTTGATAAAGTGACTTTGGCTTTATATTCAAGCCTTAATGCGGTTCACATCAAACCACCTTAAGTGTGCATCACGCAGTAATTCACTTAAAGTTTGTTAGTTGTAAAACTGGACGCCTGCATGCTTTTTAATGTATTTTGCTTCTTTTGATCTTTAGTACTGGTAAAGAGGGGCAGCCCAAAGAGTACTATACCTTGGACTCTATCTTGTTCTTTCTCAACAATGTGCACCTGCCGCATCCATCCTATGTGCAAAGAGCTGCAGTAAGTGCTCTGGAGTTCATATGAAACAGCCCAGAATCTGTCAGTATCAATCCTTCATTGCTTACCAACGTGTTGTTTGAGGACAATCCTGATTCCAGCCCACATTTTGTCATACATGCAGCATCTTGTAAACTTTAAAGAGTGTTGACTTTTATGATTGTGTGTTGTTTATAGACAGAGAACATCCGTGCTGTCAGACGACCTGATCGAAAGGACTTGCGTACATATCTTAATGGCGAGAGCTGTAAGTAGCGCTTGGGCGCTGAGGAGGGGGCTTTCTGTGGCATCTAGTACAGGTGTTGTCATTCCTGGTTTTGGTTCGCTGAAAATTTGCTTCAAATGTTGTTTTTGTCCATTTGCAGCCACGTCAACGAGCATCGACAGAAGTGCGCCCATAGAAATAGGTCTGCAAAGCCGGACACAAGGTAAAGTTACAGCATTTTTACAACATGATGTGGAATTACTACCGTATTTTCACGACCATAAGGCGCACTGTGCTAAAAGGCGCAGTCTCAGTTATGTGTGCCCTTACTGTATTTAACACACACATAAGGCGCACTGGATTATAGGGCGCATACAAGTACCGTATGCGTATTTAAAAATAAAGCGGGAGCAAACCTGAATTCGGTACCTTACTCACATTTCTATTGCCGGTAATCGTCACATCAACAACACACAAGCATACAAGTGTGCATATTTAAAAATAAAGCAGGAGCAAAACAAAGTTTGGTACTCACATTTTTATCATCAATCAAACCCATCGAAGTCCTCATCCTCTGTGTCTGAATTGAACAGCTGCGCTAAATCTCCATCAAACATGCCAGGTTCACTGTCTTCACTGTCAGAGTCACTTTCCGTGCCGTGCGGCTCCTCGGAAACGATGCCAGCTTTTGCAAAAGCTCGAACAACAGTGCCAGCAGACATGTTAGCCCAAGCATCTACAATCCATTGGCAAATTGTGGCGTAACTCGCCCGGCGCTGCCTTCCACTCTTAGTGAAACTGTGGTCTCCACCGGTCATCCATCGCTCCCAGGCCGCTCGCAGCCTTACTTTGAACGGGCGGTTCACACCGATGTCCAGCGGTTGGAGTTCCTTTGTCAGGCCTCCCGGAATGACAGCAAGCTCACAGTTCATTTGTTTCACTAGTTTTTTCACATCGGCTGTGAGATGGGCACGCATAGAGTCACAGATTAAGAGCGATGGTGATGCGTGGAAAAAAAAAAAAAAACACCTGGTCTCCTTACATACACCTCCCTCAGCCAGTCTTTCATCATTTCCTCATCCATCCAGCCCTTTTCATTTGCCTTAATGATGATTTCTGCTGGAAACTTCTCTTTAGGCAAAGTCTTTCGCTTTAAAATCACCATAGGCGGCAGTTTCTGTCCATTAGCATGGCAGCCAAGCACAACAGTAAAAGAAGACTTTTCATACCCCGTTGTGCGTATCGCTACCGTGCTGGTCCCCTGCTTCTCCACAGTGTGACTCACCGGGATGTCAAAAGTGAGCGGGACCTCGTCCATGTTAGTGATGTGGCTGGGCTGGATGTTTTTGTCGCCGATGTGTTTGCTGCAGTAGGAGCGGAAGATGGCCAGCTTTTCCTTATACCATAATCCGCTGGAAGTTGCTGCGCTACCATAGTCCTGGTCCGGATGGAAAAATGGCACCGTTTCATAAAATGAAAGCACCAAGACGGACCTCCTTGGAAATGTTCAATGTTCATCTCTTCAGCTAGTGAAACTGCTTTTAGCCGAATGGTGACCGTCAAAACGCTTCTCCCGCTCGCTCTTTGCTCGATGATCCACCGCTCGAGTCTTTCCTCCAACTCGGGCCACCTCGCCTTATGTCCGCGGAAACTCAGCTGCGTTTTCTTGACCTGCCGGAGCTTGTTTTCCAGCTTCCTCCATTTGCGAACCATCGATTCGTTAATCTTAAATTCTCTCGCCGCTGCTCGATTTCCATGTTCCTCCGCGTAGCTGATGGCCTTCAGTTTAAACTGTGCTTCGTAAGCGTGTCTCTTTGCCATTTTCAGGGTTGTTAAAACAACGATGTCCTGCATAATGCACATACCTGTTCTTTTATACAGGTATGTGCGATTGTCCCGGTATATACGATCAACGCCCACACTTCACCCTTTAACGTTCTCATGGTGTTCTCTACTACGTCCTCCTTACAACACACAGGGCGCACTGCGCTATAGGGCGCGCCGCACTTTTTGAAGAAAATCTAAGACTTTTAAGTGCGCCTTATGGTCGTGAAAATACGGTACTTATAAATGCTAGTGCTGATATTAATAATGGCACTGTCCTGTCGCTAATAGTCATATTTTTGCAAATATTTTCTATTGAATAAGTGAAGGAATTTATGTTTCGCACAGTGAAATAATGTTTTTTTTTGTTTCCTTTCTCTTTGTTATTGTTGTTTGTTTTGTTTTTTTTAGTCAGAAGAGAAGCTGATGAGGCATTTTCTGAAGCCAAAAAACCAAGAGTTGAGGTAAATTATGTTACTTCAGATGGCTTATGTGGTTTTTCTGTGTGGTATCATTAGAAATGTGATGCTTCAACCCTCCTTTGATGGCTGTGTTTACCTTGTAAACCTTGCATACATACAACTGAAGATGGCGGATGTGTTGAGTGTTCTTCGTCAGTATAACATCCAGAAAAAGGAGATTGTTGCTAAAGGAGATGAAGTTATATTTGGGGAGTTCTCCTGGCCCAAGAATGTCAAGACCAACTACATAATCTCGGGGTATGTCACGAAGCACCTTATTAATTATTATTAGTGCAACAGGGAGGTCTCTTCCATAGACTATAGAGCCAATTTTACTAGCTTTCATGAAAGCTAATGTATGTCCTTTAAACTTAGCTCGAGAGAGGAAAAGCCAAACTTGTAGTATTGTGTAATGCTAATTAATCATGGACGTAGCTCAGAGTTGTTTCACGGAGTCAGAAATCCAAAGAGTCGAGTTGAAACACCTGTGTGTTTGTTTGTTTTCTCTTTTAGTCCCTACAGTCATGACTATAAACGTCTTTCTTCACCGTGCAAAAACCAAACTTTGTGCATGTGACGCAGAAACTGAAGTTGCAAGGAGCAGTGCTTTAGCTAGCAGGAGAACCGTTGACAGTGGTTGATAAAGTGACTTTGGCTTTATATTCAAGCCTTAATGCGGTTCACATCAAACCACCTTAAGTGTGCATCACGCAGTAATTCACTTAAAGTTTGTTAGTTGTAAAACTGGACGCCTGCATGCTTTTTAATGTATTTTGCTTCTTTTGATCTTTAGTACTGGTAAAGAGGGGCAGCCCAAAGAGTACTATACCTTGGACTCTATCTTGTTCTTTCTCAACAATGTGCACCTGCCGCATCCATCCTATGTGCGAAGAGCTGCAGTAAGTGCTCTGGAGTTCATGTGAAACAGCCCAGAATCTGTCAGTATCAATCCTTCATTGCTTACCAACGTGTTGTTTGAGGACAATCCTGATTCCAGCCCACATTTTGTCATACATGCAGCATCTTGTAAACTTTAAAGAGTGTTGACTTTTATGATTGTGTGTTGTTTATAGACAGAGAACATCCGTGCTGTCAGACGACCTGATCGAAAGGACTTGCGTACATATCTTAATGGCGAGAGCTGTAAGTAGCGCTTGGGCGCTGAGGAGGGGGCTTTCTGTGGCATCTAGTACAGGTGTTGTCATTTCAGGTTTTGGTTCGCTGAAAATTTGCTTCAAATGTTGTTTTTGTCCATTTGCAGCCACGTCAACGAGCATCGACAGAAGTGCGCCCATGGAAATAGGTCTGCAAAGCCGGACACAAGGTAAAGTTACAGCATTTTTACAACATGATGTGGAGTTTAATATTGAATAAGTGAAGTAAAGGAAGGTGGTATGAAGGCATTTGTTTTGTGCTGTGAAATTGTTTGTTTTTGTTTCTTTTTTGTTTGTTATTGTTTTTTTTAGTCAGAAGAGAAGCTGATGAGGCATCTTCTGAAGCCAAAAAAAACAAGAGTTGAGGTAAATTATGTTACTTCAGATGTCACATGTGGCTGATATTGTTCTCTGTGTGGTATCATTAGAAATGTGATGCTTCAAACATCCCCCACCCCCCAGTCAGGACACTGAAATTGACAAAGTCTGAATATCTTAACTTTTAGAATTTTCTGCAGTTTGGGCAGTTAAAGATGTTTGATATTATATCACATTTTATCCTGTAATTTGCTAATAATGTGAAAACTGCTTTCACCCCAAGGATGAGGAATGTGTGTGTCTGGCTGCCCGTCTAGAGGACCATAAAGAAGGCAATGTGCAAAGCTGGTGATGTGTGGCCTGACTTACATTGGAATTGCCATCTCAGACACAGAAGACCGGGGTTTGCTGACCATCTCTGGCTTCAACCTTGGAGTTTTAGTGTCATTCGTAATTTGGCTGATCTGATCTGATAAGATTTCTGGGACTTTTCCTGAGTAATGTAATGAGTGTAGAATATGAAGGCCAATTCAACATTTGTAGCAAGAGGTTGGCAGGTTAAGGGGAACAATGCATGAGTCACAGTTATAGGGTGTTTGCAGATGTAGGTTTACTTCGGGGGGATTACCTGTAGTCTTCAACATGCATCTATGGTATGAGTTAGCAAGTTTAATGTAGAGATACTTAACATCAATGAAAGAGAAACCTGAAACAAAGCACACAAAGTCAATGGTAAAACTTGGAGTTGCTTTTTATTGTGTTAATTTCACAGATTTCTTAGATCAGAAAAGTGTTTTTCAAGTATTAACATCTTGGATTCCTTTTACACAGTCTTTGCTTTAGCTTAGCCACAAATTTTAGTTGTTCTAACATTTGTTTGACCCTAAGCCCAGTTTATTGTTTTAAAGCTGAGTTTTCTGTTTTCTTCTCGTGAGGTTATACTTTAAAAGAAATGTGGTGACACTTTTTATAAAGTAAATTTGAATTCAGTTTTAACAACACACTAATGCCAATGTTTGGGATTTTTTTTGTGTGTGTAAAAAGTTTGTGTTTCAGTCTGAATTCTCTGCATCAGAATTTACATTTTACTGTAAGAAAGTACTGTAATAAGCTTTACTTATCACGGTGTCATTTCGTCTTCATAAACAAAAGAACAATAAACTGACCATGTAACTGTGAAGGATGTTTGTCCCAACATGCTGATGTTTTCATTTTTAATTTTAAAGCAACATCCAACATATAAAATATTTATAACATGACTGTTGACACAGCGTTTTAGGAGATGGACATGAGATTTGGTCGTTCTCAAGTGTTTCACAACCATTCTGTTGTATCTGTCCTGCTTAACATGTACCTACTGTAGCGGCGATGTAAAGCCCTTCCTAATAAACAACTTGCTGCTCTGGAAATGCGCTTTCATTTTACCAATAACTGCCTGAGTTGTTGAACTGATACATCACTGTGATCAAAGTAAAGTTTGCAGTTAAAGCGTCATTCAGATCAGGCATCTAGAGAGGCCGCACGATGTTGATAACTGGGGGCCTTGCAAACACACTACACACATACAACTGAAGATGGCGGATGTGTTGAGTGTTCTTCGTCAGTATAACATCCAGAAAAAGGAGATTGTTGCTAAAGGAGATGAAGTTATATTTGGGGAGTTCTCCTGGCCGAAGAATGTCAAGACCAACTACATAATCTGGGGGTATGTCAGTGCTAATAACATCTACAAAGTGCTTCAGTAGGCCTGCAGCTGATGCTCATCTGTGCCTTGTGCTGCTAGTAACGACGGAAGGCTCGCTAGCTACGAAGTGCTAACCCAGCTACTTTCCTCAAAAGTTAAAGCACCCTTTTAATTGTTGTTAGTGCATCAGGGAGGTCTCTTCCATAGACTATAGAGCCAATTTTACTAGCTTCCATGAAAGCCAATGTATGTCTTTTAAACTTACCTCGCGAGGGGTTCAGCCAAACTTGGTAGTGTTGTGTAATGCTAATTAATCATGGACGCTAGCTAGCGAGCGAGTTGTTTCACGGAGACAGAGATTCGAGTTGAAACACCTGTGTGTTTGTTTTTCTCTTTTAGTCCCTACAGTCATGACTATAAACGTCTTTCTTCACCGTGCAAAAACCAAACTTTGTGCATGTGACGCAGAAATTAAAGTTGCAACTAGCAGTGCTTTAGCTAGCAGGAGAATTGTTGACAGTGGTTGATAAAGTAACTTTGGCTTTATATTCAAGCTTTAATGCGGTTCACATCAAACCACTTTAAGTGTGCTTCACGCAGTAATTCACTTAAAGTTTGTTAGTTGTAAAACTGGACGCCTGCATGCTTTTTCAAAAATGTTTTGTGCTTGTTTTGATCTTTAGTACTGGTAAAGAGGGGCAGCCCAAAGAGTACTATACCTTGGACTCTATCTTGTTCTTGCTCAACAATGTGCACCTGCCGCATCCATCCTATGTGCGAAGAGCTGCAGTAAGTGCTCTGGAGTTCATATGAAACAGCCCAGAATCTGTCAGTATCAATCCTTCATTGCTTACCAACGTGTTGTTTGAGACACCCCTGATTCCAGCCCACATTTTGTCATACATGCAGCATCTTGTAAACTTTAAAGAGTGTTGACTTTTATGATTGTGTGTTGTTTATAGACAGAGAACATCCCTGTTGTCAGACGACCTGATCGAAAGGGCTTGCTGTCATATCTTAATGGCGAGAGCTGTAAGTAGCGCTTGGGCGCTGAGGATGGGGGTGTTTTGTGGCATCTAGTACAGCCTTTGGCATTTTCCAAAATTGTAATGATTTCTTCCAGGTTTTGGTTCCCTGAAAATTTGCTTCAAATGTTGTTTTTGTCCATTTGCAGCCACGTCAACGAGCATCGACAGAAGTGCACCCATAGAAATAGGTCTGCAAAGCCGGACACAAGGTAAAGTAACAACATTTTTACAACATGATGTGGAGTTTAGTTTCATAACTTAATCCTGAAATGTAAATTTCAGGAATAATTACTACTTATAACTGCTAGAGCTGATACCAGTGATGCAACATACACTGTCCTATTTTTACAAAAACAATTTTGCATAAGTGAAATAAAGGAAGGTGGGATGAAGGAATTTGTTTTGCATAGTGATACAATGTTTTTTGTTTGTTTTTCTTTCTTTGCTATTGTTGTTTGTTTTTTTGTTTTGTTTTTTAGTTAAAAGAGCAGCTGATGAGGCATCCTCTGAAGCCAAAAAACCAAGAGTTGAGGTAAATTATGTTACTTCAGCTGTCACATGTGGCTCATGTTGTTTTCTGTGTGGTATCACACAGGACACAGAAATCACAGTTTTCCTATTCTGACATACTTAACATTGAATTTGTTTACATATTCTTACTGTAATAAATGTGGACCACTCCCAACACCTGAAAATACTACCACTACTAATCATGATGATGATAATAATTCATTTTTAAAAATAATTCCATTAGGAAAATATTTAAATGAATTAACTTAGTAAACTAAATAGTGGGAAACGCAGCTCATTAAATATTCTTCAGTGTTTAGTGTAACTGAATATAAAATGGGTAACTGTGTCATGCATGCAGGTGACACAGTGAGTATTTTAACTTTTACAAATTTCAGCAGTGTGGGCAGTTAAAGGTTTTTGATATATCATTTTTTATCCTGCAATTTGCTAATAATGTGAAAACTGCTTTCAATCTCAAGGATGAGGAACGTGTGCGTCTGGACAAGGAGCGTCTGGCTGCCCGTCTGGAGGGCCATAAAGAAGGCATCGTGCAGATCGAACAGATCAGGTATGATCAGGTTATGAGCTTTTCCTTATTCTGATTACCAGTTCCTCCTAACAGATAGTTCAGCTTATCAAAACGTTTGTCCCTGTCTTCCAGATCACTGTCTGAGGCCATGTCTGTGGAAAAAATTGCAGCCATTAAAGCAAAGATTATGGCAAAGAAGCGTTCAACTATCAAAACAGATCTCGATGATGACATAACACTGAAGCAGAGAAGCTTTGTGGATGCAGAAGTGGATGTCACCAGGGATATTGTTAGCAGAGAGCGGGTCTGGAGGACTAGGACAACCATTCTCCAGAGCACTGGAAAGGTTAGTGTACACTTTATGCCAGACTGTTTTCTGATGAAACTTTGAAACTAATGAAACTTTCCTTCAGAAGCAAGAGCCTTAAGACAAGTGTGTTATCAATTAGCGCTGTATAAATGAATTGTAATTGACTTGACACTATAATGCCAGATGTATCATATCATGTAACCAGAAACCCCTTTTAACCCTACGCCATCACCTGACGTGCACCTCCCTAGAAGTCTGTCTAAAACTTGGGTCGACGCAGAAATAACTGAATGGCCTGGAACATAAAAAGGGGTTTCTAGTTACCTTGTGAGTTATGACATAGATTTCCCACAGAAGTCTAAATTATACATTAGCCTCCAGAACCCTAAGAGACAGTGCATTGGGTTGAGAAAACATTCAAATGGCCCAGCCATGAAAGCACCATAAATGTGTACCAGTACATGGACCAGTGTGAACCACTAGATGGCAGCAGAAGCTGAATTTAAATGTTAGGAATTAACTGATAACTACAGATTGTTGAAAAGATGTGCTCACCTATCAGTTTAAATTTGGCTTATCAAAAACGAAACCATCTTATTTAAAGTCCAGCCATCTTTGTTTTGTTTGTTTTAAGGTTGTCAGATATCTGATCTTATCTTAGTTTAACCTTTTTAAAGCTAAATAGATTTGTTTTGTCAGTCGCTCGATAAACTAATTTATTTAATGTGTCTCATTATGTCTAACTGGAGAGAGATATAGGGATAGGGAGGTAACAGTGCACAGTATTCAGTTAAGTATGAATGCCTGTTCAGATTCCACATGTTTAATATTTTTCTTATGATATCCAGAGTATTAAATGATAAAAAATCTAAACAAAAACCAAATATTCATGAACAAGAATTTAGAGTTCACAGTTAAATGAAACTAATCCTTCACACCAGTTGTGCCGTTGAAATTTTTTTTTCTTTAATGAAATGTTCAAAGTAAGGCAGCTGTCTCACTTTGTAGACACTGAGGGCAAAACTTGGAATTCCACCTGAACATCTGTTCTGTGGATGGATCGCTTGTTAGGAGAGAAATTGCAGAATCATGCAAAATATTGATTTTAATTATTGTACATATTTAATGAACCTGCTGCGTTGTTTATATGCAACAGCGAATGGACCATAACTAGTGAAATTTGAGCTCCTATTTGAATGTTCTTTTTGTTGTTTACATGCAAAGACTTCAGTTTTCTTGGCTCACAGTTCAAACTTAACCTGGGAAATTCTGTACTGAGGTGGGCATTAGAGCAGGGCGATATGGCCAAAAATATTTATCACGATATACAGTGGGGCAAAAAAGTATTTAGTCAGCCACCGATTGTGCAAGTTCCCCCACTTAAAATGATGACAGAGGTCAGTAATTTGCACCAGAGGTACACTTCAACTGTGAGAGACAGAATGTGAAAAGAAAATCCATGAATCCACATGGTAGGATTTGTAAAGAATTTATTCGTAAATTAGGGTGGAAAATAAGTATTTGGTCACCCCAAACAAGGAAAATCTCTGGCTCTCACAGACCTGTAAAGTCTTCTGTAAGAAGCTTTCTGTCCCCCACTCGTTACCTGTAGAATGCACCTTTTGAACCATCATCTGTATAAAAGACACCTGTCCACAGCCTCAAACAGTCAGACTCCAAACTCCGCCATGGCCAAGACCAAAGAGCTTTCGAAGGACACCAGGAAAAGTATTGTAGACCTGCACCAGACTGGGAAGAGTGAATCTACAATAGGCAAGCAGCTTGGTGTGAAAAAATCAACTGTGGGAGCAATCATCAGAAAATGGAAGACATACAAGACCACTGATAATCTCCCTCGATCTGGGGCTCCACGCAAGATCTCATCCCGTGGGGTCAAAATGATCATGAGAACGGTGAGCCAAAGATCCCAAAACCACACGGGGGACCTGGTGAATGACCTGCAGAGAGCTGGGACCAAAGTAACAAAGGTCACCATCAGTAACACACTACAACGGCAGGGAATCAAATCCCGCAGTGCCAGACGTGTTCCGCTGCTGAAGCCAGTGCATGTCCAGGCCCGTCTGAAGTTTGCCAGAGAGCACATGGATGATACAGCAGAGGATTGGGAGAATGTCATGTGGTCAGATGAAGCCAAAGTAGAACTTTTTGGATAAACTCAACTCGTCGTGTTTGGAGGAAGAAGAATACTGAGTTGCATCCCAAGAACACCATACCTACTGTGAAGCATGGGGGTGGAAACATCATGCTATGGGGCTGTTTTTCTGCCAAGGGGACAGGACGACTGATCCGTGTTAAGGACAGAATGAATGGGGCCATGTATCGTGAGATTTTGAGCCAAAACCTCCTTCCATCAGTGAGAACTTTGAAGATGAAACGAGGCTGGTCTTCCAACATGAAATGATCCAAAACACACCGCCTGGGCAAAAAGATGGCTCCGTAGAAGCATTTGAAAGTCCTGGATGGCCTAGCCAGTCTCCAGACCTCACCCCATAGAAAATCTGTGGGGAGTTGAAAGTCGTGTTGCTCGGCGACAGCCCAAAACATCACTGCTCTCAAGAAGATCTGCATGGAGGAATGGGCCAAAATACCAACTACTGTGTGTGCGAAACCTAGTAAACGTTTGACCTCTGTTATTGCCAACAAAGGTTATGTTACAAAGTATTGAGTTGTATTTTTGTTATTGACCAATATTATTTTCACCTGATTTACGAATAAATTCTTTACAATCCTACCATGTGGATCATGGATTTTTTTTTCACATTCTGTCTCTCACAGTTGAAGTGTACCTCTGGTGCAAATTACTGACCTCTGTCATCATTTAAGTGGGGAACTTGCACAATCGTGGTGACTAAATACTTTTTGCCCCACTGTATATTTGAAATTGCGATAACGATATAAACCGACGATATAATGATGCGAACAAAATACAACTCCACACATTACTAGCGCAAAAAGACAACCTTCATTTATTTTCACTTAAACAAGAAGCTGGTTTTATGTACATAAGCTTTATAAAAATGTAACAGTGCAAATGCAAATCCTTGCTGAAAGTTAACCAAAAGGCATTTCCAGTAGAAATGGGTGACATATCCGAGCATAACATATATAATATCCACTGAAGTTAAAAAGAGGTGCTTTGCAACATTAAACTGCAGTGTGCAGTACCATTTTCGACATAAGGTGCACGGATTATAAGGCACATTAAGCGAAACAAAGCAGTCAGATAAATCAAATGATTAACTCATTCTTCTTGCTTCTCCACTCTGTACCATGATTCATTAATGTTGAATCTCTGCAGCTGCTCTATCCATGTTGTTGCAGTATATTAATGACTAACCTCGTATTTTGGATGGATTATCTCAGTTGTTCTCCTGACTGAAGTTTGGTCCGTTTACAGCATCCTGCCATGCGATTGCATTTGTCTCTAACCATGAAGAACTCACGTTAACTTTATAAGTGGAAAATGTTAGTGTTCGTCCTCCAGCTTCACTGTTTATGTTATGCTAACATAGCTGTATCGCTAGCGATCACGTAGCACATCATTATATACAGCTAGCCAACTTCATAACCTACAAACGTCATGCTGTTTAGTTTCCTGTCTTCATTATGTTGGAAGTGATAGCAGAGCTGTACGTTTGATTTTTTCAGAATCTCTCGTCAGAACATGCTATATCATGCTAGGTAACTAGCGAAACTAGCGAGCTAACTTCCGCTAGCTTCCTGCTAACTTCTAACTCCGTTAATGTAATACTTTTGTTCATGGATCCTGGAAGTTAAACTTTATAGTTACACCTGGTAAGCAGCAATGCTGATCGTTTATAAGATGAAAGAATTTAGACAGTTTTAACTCTAATGATGCTGCAGTGTTGTTTGACCTGAAGAATACGGAGTTTAGGACCAGATTACTCCCAGATTTAGAGCATCTTAGTCGACAAATATGACAATAACAACGGCGCTTGCATTCTGCAAAAAATGTGCTTTGTGGTTATCTGACGGACAACACCAAACAGTTCCACATCACGGAAGTTGCACCATTTTACAAACCAATTCTGGTTCATTGTTCACTCAACAATCGGCCATGTGCGTATGAAAAAAGGCACTGCGCATGCGCGTTTTACTCCCATTCTATCGCGATATTTCATTTTCCTATCGTTGCCTAACATTATACCGGTATTACAGTGAACGGTATAATATGGCCCAGCCCTAGTGGGCATGATACGCACACATGACGCTCATCGTTTCTAAACCAAACTAAAGATGTAGACAGACTGTTAACTTAACAGCACACAGTTTAACTCATTCACTGCCAGCCATTGGCAGTGAATGAGTTAACCCCATTGACTCATTCACTGCCATTGACGGCTATAGACGTCAATGGCAGTGAATGAGTTAATAACTTGTACATTTTAAATGTGTTTTAATTGAATCTCTTCTGTGAGGGAAGTCTCGTTTTTGTTTTTAAAAGGAAACGACTCCTGCTCAACCTATTTTTGTTCCTTTTTCAGAACTTTTCCAAAAACATTTTTGCCATCCTTCAGTCCGTGAAAGCTCGAGAAGAAGGGCGAGCTCCGGAGCAGAGACCAGCACAGAACACAACTCAAGCGGTAAACTGACAAATATCCACTTCCTACAAATTACGTTATGTTATTTTTTATTGGACCTTAATCTTTTTTATTAAGTGTTTATTTGCACATGGTTTAGATCTTAATCACACTTTTTTTGTAAATTAATTTCTTTACAATTTGAAAATACAGGAGTAATAAGGACGATTAAGAACCAGTTGATGATTTGTTGGTTGAATAAGCTTTGATTAGCTGTTAGTCCTGTTACGTTTGCATCTCATAAATAAATCAAAGTTAAAACTGACATATATTCATCTTATAATGAATTTGTCCAAAGTTATGTGTGCAAAAATAGTCTGTAGGTGTTTGAGTTAGTTGCAAATCCACTATAGTTTAAACTGAAGAGCGGTGTGTTTGTATATACAGGTATTTATTGTTTCGTATCTTTTCCAGGACCCGTCCCTAAGGAACAAGCAACCTGTCCCAGCTGCCTATAACAGATACGATCAGGAGCGATTCAAGGGAAAAGAAGGTGCGTTTTAGAAATGCTTTACTGATCATTTTAGTATCAATCCTTTTGCAAAAGAGTGCTTGTTTGTTTGAGTTAATATAAGTTCACTGATCCACAGTTTCCACATTTAAACCCAGCATCAGTAAACAAATGTGGTCAGAGTATGGAGAGAAATTTGCCACAAATGCATGCGATATGATTCACAAGCGTAAACTAAAGATTCACAAACGCGTACAATGATATGTGTGTAACTTTTGAGAACTCAGACGCACGTGCTTTAATCCACACACACACAAATATCAAGCAATCTGACCACACGTGAAACAATTTTACAAATGCGTTCATCCAAACTTGAATAAATACTGATCATTTATGATCATTTATGCACACTTTATTAAGTTTAGCTTCACGAATCAGATAATGTTCTCTTTCAAAAACATTTCTGTGCGCGCACACATCTAAAAATAATCATCTCTCATGTCCTTCACAAAACCATAAATGCGTAAGCACCAGTCACCTGATACTCACAGACCACGTCACATGCCCACTTGAGATTTTAAGGCAAATTTAATGCTGCTAGCTTCACACAGATTCACAAATGTAAGCTGCTTTCAAGTCCCAGTGTAAAACTGGGACATCTGGGCTTATAAGCGGCGAACACGTTGCATAATATGCAGGTATTAGATTTCATTATACTTATAAAGAAAAAAACCCTCTTTGTTCAGCCAGTGAGCTCCAACTCATAGCATGTTGTTGTCCTAGAAACGGAGGGCTTCAAGATCGATACTATGGGCACGTATCACGGCATGACCCTGAAGTCAGTGACGGTAAGAAATAACTTTTTGCACAATAACTACTAACCAAAACCTCAACCTGTGACGCATGTATACAAGCACGGTTTTCCACAGGAAGTTGAGTCATAAAGTCTGTCAAGTAGTTAAATAACACATTTTAAATGTGCTTATGTATGTAACAGCATTTGAAAAACAGATGCCTGCTGTTCTTTCTAAATAGATTTTACTGTTTCAAAGAAATTCAGCACAAAGTACAGATAACTGGATACATGTCCTCTGTGTAGGTAATGATGTCGCATCCTTACACGTCACCTGTCACAGCCATTTTTCAAAATAACTTCTTGGACAGTTTAATATGTGGAGATGTTTACTTGCACTGTCTGCTTCAGAAATCTAAAAGTCATACAGTAGCTCTGATTATTACAAAAAAGTACTTTATTTCTGTACAGTGAAGCACAGCGTGTTCTTTCATAAAATAAAACTCCAGTAGTTTGACTCAGACGTAGAAATAGTTCTTATCTCTGTTGTACAAAGTTGGCTAGAGCACTTGATTTGATTTTTACATTTCCAACATTTATGCACATTTTGTGTTGTGGATAAAGTGGGTTTGGATTATAAGTAAAGTCCCTTGATATGAAGTTCAAAAAAGAGGATGTGCTGAGATATAAATCTCTTTTTATTTTGTTTTTATTTATTTATTTATTTTATTTTTAACAGTGAGCATGTGAGTGTAACAGTGTCCTTTCACTCAGCTGATTTCTCTCCAGTCACTCTGTGTAAGTGTGTCCTGCCTGCTCTCTCTTTAAATGCGTTGATGCAGGCGTTTCGCTTGTTGCTCTGAAGGTGATGCCAGTATTTCAGGAGCTCATTGGGATGAAACCCATGTGATGTTATCAGATGGCTGTACTTGCAGCTGGAGTAAGATACTCGCCAGTGGTTGAATAAGAACTCATTTGGTGGTGGCGTGGGTTCGATTCCGAGGCTGGCCAGACATATTCCCACAAACACGTCCTCCAGATGCAGATGGCGGATACGTAAAGACACTTGATAGATTTTCCTTGCGAGATCCCCAGAAAAGACGTAACCAGTCCCAGAGCAAAAGGTGGGATACTTGTCACCTGGGTACAGCTCCGGGGGCATGTACCACTTGCTGTTTTTATTTCGGTTGGGTGCGTAGCCTCTCATGTTGTTTCCTGTGAAGTAGTTCCTCCTGGGCTCCAGTTCAGGCCTGAGCAGCTTAAAAATGAGGTACTCTGTGTTGACGAACATGTCGCTGTCTGTCTTCATGACGTAGCTGGTGTGCGGACAGTGCATTGCAACCCAATTTAGTCCCATCAGTGTCTTTGTGGTGAGGTTTTTGTAAGAATCCAGGAAGTCCTGCTGAATGATATCATGATGCCTCCGGCTCTCTGCTTCTAGCATCCTTTGTTGTAGAAGTCCCAGTTCTCCATCTTTTTTCCCCAGCAGAAAGAGCCGGATAAATCCCAGAGCTGGAGCAACACTCTCGTTCCCCCACGTCTGCCGTATAGCATTCCTCGCCTCCACCTGCCGAGCTTCAGTGGCAATCAGCAACACCAGAAATGGCGCAGCTGTGTTGTCTGCACATTTATCAGGCTCGTTAATGATGTAAGGGTACGGTCCGTGGGTTATCACGGCGCTGAGGTCTGCGTCGTCTCTTTGGCTTGTGTTTGCTGCCAGAACGTTCTGAAAATTTGGGTCTGGTTGAGTTGGGTAAACTCCCTGATTTTCACGGGAGCTGATGTTGGCGTCAGCCTTGAAAGTCTGTTGAGGAATGATGACGAACCTCCACTGTGAATGGCGGGTGCTTGTGTTCCATTTGGCTTTGGTGGTGTGAGCTGCTCCACCTCCATACACCAGAGGATGCCCTCTCCACCATGGCATACCAGTGAGCCTCGGCAGCCACACCTGGTGGACTAGAAAGAACAGCACACCCAGCAGAGAGAGCAGATACAGAAGTTTAGCTGTGTGTTTACAGCAGTGGCGTCGTTTCCACTGCATGGTGTCGACACTTCTAGTCTTGACAGTTGTTACGCTTCAATCCAGTTGTCAGCAGGGTTTCAGCTCCTGTTGATGAGTAATATAAATCACTTTGTTGATACCCAGTGATGGCCTAGGAGACAGTGGAAAGAAGAGTATACATTTTCATTGTGAAAAACGAAATTATACTCACAGTTTTCATTCTGATAAGGCTGCAGTTTACAGTAAATAAGCTTGTAAATACCAGCCAAGTTAAGAAAACTTTGCAGCAATCTGGTGAGCACGTTTTCATTTCTTGATTTGGAGAAATACACAACTTGATTGGCCCATCCTGTTGTTTTTAAACATATTTGATATCATATTAATGTAATGAGGGTACATTTCTATAGTCTAAATATAGTTCGTAGGCTTTTATATCGACATTAAAATCTACAAATTACCTGCTTTGACGTCTTCCTCTACCACACTCGTTTGGTTTTAGTTTTCATGTAATAATGCTAGAATGCTAGTTGTGGCTAATTGTAGAATGTCAACAGACGGTGTAGTTTTTGCAGATGAGTTTTCTTTCTTTTTTTTAAGAAAATTACAAAACAAAGGAGCCTAACATAACAGAGAGGACTTTGAGAGAGTTTAAATTCTCTCCACTGTTGCATGCTTCAGTAGAAATGTTTTTCTCCCTTTAGAAAGACACACCCTTTACATCCTGTAAGTTAAACCACAACCAGAGGAGTGAATTATATCAGTCATCTGTTATGACTGTTTTTATGTCGATGTTCGTCTGTATTTTCAATTCTTCACAACATAAACTCACCTTTTTTAGTCTAAAAACTTGTCTCTGTGGTATTCATCGCTGCTGGATAAATTAGTCTTCACACATTCCGACTGGCCTCTCGGTCTCTGTTCCTGCGGTGCTTTTGGCCACATCATAAATGCACACAGCCCCATGTCCTCACTTTTTTTTTTTTTTCCTGCAGCATATGTCAAATTGTCCTCTTCTTTGGCTGGTAAGGTTTCTGTAGTCAGTCCAGGGAAATTAATTTTTCCAGGTAATCCTAGCTTTTTGCCTCATGCGTGCACAAATGTGCTGCTAGTTCATGCGTGCATGCCTGGCAAGAGCATGTTTGAGCGCTCCGGTGTTGCAGTCTCTCAATCTGCCTTGGCGCATTGTCCCTAGAGGCTTGATTTTAGCTGTGGTGTGCTGCTTCTTTTGCTCATGGCCGAAGAGAGAGGATAGACGGTAGTTGACAGTAAGCTGCAGCCCTGGGTCCTTTTACTGTCCCCGCTGTCATGTTGTGTATATCAAAGCAGGCACGCAGAGATGGGATTCACATCTGAATGATAAATAAGCCTACATGTCTCCGTTCAGCTTTGCTCCCCCTTTCTGTGCTTATCCTCGTTTCCTCTTGTTCTTCCTCTTTGATTCACATGCCCGCTGTCCACTGTGTTTCTCAGATCGTTCAGATTTCGGTTTTTATGCTTATCCCCCCTCCCTATTCAGCTGCCTCTCACGCACTGCTCCTTCTAGCTAGAGGAATGAAAGCAACGGGGGAGGAGGAAGATGAACGGAAGGAAGAGCTGTGAGTTGTGAGCTCGCTCTGAAAGGCAGCTCTAGGCTCGGTGGCATTACGCTCTCTCACCACGTCACGCCGTCTTTGCTGCTGTTGCTGCCTGCTCTGTTAAAGGGGAGGGGGTTGGGCTACTGACCTATTTGTATTCACACCCACTCTGAGGAATGAGGAATAAACCATTGTCTCAATTGGCATGCTGTGAGAAAAGGGAAGAGAGGTCATTGTGTACACACTTCCACAAATCTTAGAGGGTCACTGATTTAAAAGTGGCAAACATCAGCTTACATGTTGTTGACTGAAAAACAGTGGACATTACCACCCAGACCCCAGCAGTCTGTCACCCCCAGCTGTCATCTCACACAAACGTCTTGCATATAGTTAATTAAAATTATCTTTACACTAAGCTCACTAAATCTAATATTTAGCATCTTTGCCCATGTTACAATACATATATTTTATTTGTGTCTGGTAATGACAGAAAAATAAAAAAACGGTGACTTTTCAGGTGACAAACCACAACTGTGATTCTTAGCAGCACAAAGGCACAGAGATGACTGAAAATGCCGGCATAAGTACTGTTGCTGAAGCGTGAACTAAAATTGTAAGTGACCGTTATGTTTTTATGACTGTTCCAGCAGTAGAAATCCCATTTCTGAATTTTACAACATAATCACAGTTTTCTCATCCTGTGAGAAAGTTTGACTCCACTAACTTTTGCATGTTGGACTTTTATGTTTCTTTTTTCTGGTTTCATCTAAACATATAGGCCTTTGCCATAGCTTAGTACAGTGGTGGTGCAGATTGAATTACAGAATAGATCGATTTATTGTAAGCTATGCTTTAATGTACAGTTATCACCCATCACACCTGCTCCGCTCCACATTTCTGAAGCAGCAGAGCTCCTTCTCCCTCAGACTGATTCAACCTCACTGCCACAAAGAACCCTTGAGGAAATCATTCCTACTGTTCTCTATAAAGCTGTGTTTAAAACTCTCTTCATGCTGTGACAGGTGAACACACCTGTCAGGCATAAAATCCCAAATGTACTTTGTATTAAACCTTCATTCAGCTGTTTGTTTGTTTGTTTGTTTTTTTAATTTGCTTTTTTTATGTAATGTACATATAAATTAATGCAATTTTCACTTTTCTCTCAGGCAATGTCAGTCTTACTATTACTGTTTTTAACTACATTTTTACTTTTTTGTTTTTAATCACTGCTATAACTATAAATTCCTGCATAAGGCTTTTATCGTGTATTTCTTTGTTTAATGCGGTCTCTACTATTTTTACTTTTTATGTTTCTGTTCTAACACCCACATTTCCCTTGTGACGTCAGTAAAGCAGCTATCTGTCTTGTTTTGTAGGTTAGCCCTGACAAGTTTAGCTCTCTTTCACAAGGGTAACTTGTGAACAAACAAATACTAGTGCTAAGAAAAACTACAGCAGTGTAATTAGCATTTGAGAGGTTTAAGGAACTTGCACTCGCACTCAGATGGGGCCTTCTAGTTAACATTAACCCACATTCAGTTCAAGCAGATGAGCTCCAGACATGCAATTTATCTGTAAATGACACACTTTGTTGTAGAGCTTCAGTTAGACGTTACCTTGCAGATCAGAGGAGTTGGAGTATATTTGATACTTGATGCCCACTAATATTTAACTGTTGGTTGATTGTAGTTGTGTTAAAATGCTGAAAACTTTAGAAAACAAATAACAGATCACGATAAGGATGACTACCAGCTGCTTCAAGAGCAGCTGCTCCTGCTAGGTGGCTATCTAAGCCTAAATATTCAACACTGTTCAGTTATTTCACTGATGAAACACCTTGAACAATTTATTTCAAGTGGCCTGTTGGGCACAACAATCGAAGCTGCACAATTTTTATATTTCTTGTTAACATCAGAAGTTTCTGAAGACACTGTATGATGGGACTGTATATAACCTTGTATTTTTAATCTTGAGGTGTTGCTTGTTTTCTAGGAAGGAGCATCTGCTCGAAAGGCCCAGACCCCTGCACTGCAGCCTGTACCTCGTCCAGGTTAGTGTTGAATTCTAAATGTTCATGTTTAATCATGCATAAAGAATAAATACAGAGTAAAAACCTTTTTTTAGTTTTTGCCCATCGTGCCACAGAGTGTAAGGACTGTTTCTGTTTGAGAGTTTGTACTGGAGTGATGTTTTTAACAAAGACAGACTTGCACTCTGTACTACTACAATATTCTTTTCTGTGCCTTATTTTTCATATAGCAAGGGAAAACCGCTAAAAACACCCTATAGTCTGTACATGCTCCAGCTGAGCCTGGGCTAGTTCCTTTTTCATTCATTTCTCAAGGGTTAAATTGATTCTGTCTTTTTTTTTTTTTTTTGTCCTCCTCCCAAATCCTGACGTAGTCACATCATGACTGTTTTCAGTTTTCAGTGCTCCCAACACTGCCTGTTAGTATGTGTTGATCAGCTCTTTTCATATATCAGTCACTCGGGTCTCTTACCAGCAATTTCTAAAGGGACTGTATCAGAGCGTTGTGTAATAATAACGGTATTTCTTTTATTCACAACGTCGACTGTTTCCAGGCGTGGCATTTAGACACATGACTGTACTAATAAAAAAAGAAAAGAATATTCACATGATTTCTGAATGAAGCTGCATCGCTAAAATAACCTTTTGTCTGTAGAGAAGAATCACATGTTTGTTTGACTCTTCTACAATGGGTCAAACTGGTTCTACTTTTTATTTCTTCCACACATGCAATGGGAAGTTGCTAAGCGTTTGACCCATTTGACCTGCAGCAGAGGTTTTAAGCTAAAACTTTGTCTTTGAGTGTGACTGCAAGTCTGACAAAAACTGTCTTTTCTGCTTTATTTAATTATACTCCAATTAGCAAAAGACTAAACGTTTAAATATATTTAGTGGTCTTTCTTTAATTTTTGCCACTACTTTTATAAACTATCTAACGGTTCTCCAGTTGCTCACTCCATGGTGGTATTTCACATGGGATTTATGCATTTGTGTTGCTTTCAGTTTTATCTCCAGCTGCTTCAGCCGGTTGGTAGATATTTATTACTTTAACACATTGCAGAGTTCTTGCAAATCCCCAACCCCAATTCCAAAAATGTTGGGACACAATAAAATGTAAATTAAAAACCGAATGCATCCTCTCCTCTTTCAACACCAGTGCAGACCAGATCATGTGCTGTCTGATGTAGGATTCAATACTTGATGTAATTGAAATATGGGTTGATGGCAAATTCTGTTCTTACTTGGATTTTAAACAAGGTCCCAACTTAAACATCATGAAACTGAACCACAGTTTGATGAAATGGGGAACTTGGAGAATCGGCTACATGTATTTTTAGTCTAACACTTTTTCTTTTTTTTATCATTTGACACACTCCGTGTATGCAAGCTTTAAGAGGCAAAGTCGGGTTTCCGTTTTCTTTTCTTTTTTCTTTTTCCCCTTTTGGACCTAAAGGGTTCATTTATTTCATTGGTTAAAGTTAGCATTAGGTATACTGATAGACACCAGATTCTTCCAACTATCATGTGGAAGTACCTCCCCTTTTCCAAACAGTTTTTAAGGATAAATTCCAAAAAAAAAAAAAAACCCTTTCTGTGTTCAGGTTTAGTGATGTTCGTTCAGTCGTTGGATATTGTAAGTCTTACTATTGTTAGAGCTTATGAAGAAAATTTCTTGTCAAGGAAGTGACTTAACAAATACTTGACGCATAGGAAGCAGTTTTACTGAGGATTGTTGTTCTTGTCTTTGGACTCAATATCCACATTCGTGTTTGTATTTATTTAAAAATATATTCTTTTAACTGTTTTCTCTCTAGTTTCACAAGCCAGACCTCCACCAAACCAGAAGAAAGGTACATCACATTTGATCAGAGTTAATCACTGTTTTTTAGTAGTACTGACCAACTGAGCTGTAGTTTTAAACCATTTTTAATGTGGCTTTCTCCACAGGATCCCGAACACCAATCATCATCATCCCTGCTGCCACCACCTCCCTCATCACAATGCTCAATGCTAAGGATCTCCTGCAGGATCTGAAGTAAGTACAAATCATTAGTGCCCTTCTTCTTTCTCTAAAGTGGAAGACAGTGCAATGAATCAATTGCACTGTCTTCCATGCATTGATGTTATTTGGCGGTTGATGTTCTTCAGACACGCAGTAGTGGATTTTTTTTTTGTCAAGTTGCTCAACACTAAGTTTAGGGCAGAGATTGAAAAAGAGCTTGGCGTGCCAGCGGTGACTGTCTGTGGTCGTTGCCATAGAGCAACAACTGTTTGGAGGTTTAATGACTGGATTTAATGTTGGCACCTCTGCAAAATGGGCAGTGTTGGCAAGAAAGGTAAAAATTGTACCCTAAGGAGCAGCAGTGAAATGACTTCCAGACTCTGGCCTGTACCAGGTTTATCACATCAGAAGAGAAGAAGAAGCAGGGCATCCCGCGGGACAATGAGGTTCTGCTACAGAGGCGCAAAGACCAGATCCAGCCTGGTGGCACAACACTGAGTGTCACCGTGCCGTACCGCGTCATCGATCAGCCGCTCAAACTGGCTCCCCAGGATTGGTCAGTATATGTATTTTCTCAGTTATATTAGCATTTTACACCATACAGGAACACTATGGAATCAACAAGCCTGTACTCCCCTCTGTACCTTTATCATGAAATGACCATTCATCAGATGACTCAGCTGTTAACGGGGATATTTGAGTGTTTAGCAAATATGACTCATTATTATGCATGCAGCCTGTGTTGAAACCACAAGATGATTATGTTTCAGAGTCTGAGTTATCATATAATGGGTACACAGTACTGGCCGATTGTTGAATAATTTCAGAGGGAAATGGGGGGGAGAGGTGTGCGTTTCCTCTTCCTCACTTCTGCTGGAGCAAGTCTTAAGCCCATGTATAACACCCACTGGTATTGGCATATATAGCACATTACTGGTACTTGTGTAGCACCTTTCTACTTAAGTTGAGTACTCAGTGCTTCCTACTGCAAGCTGCACACAATCATACTCTAGTTGCTGCATTGGATGCAACTTTTCAGTAACCTGCCCAAGGACATGTGGAGCCGAGGATCAGTCCACCAGTTTTCCGAACCACTCCACTTGACCTACAGCCGATCAAGAATTTCAGCATCGGGCATCCTTGGTTGTAAATCCAACATCAGGAAAACACATATTGTCATATTAATGATACCTGAGATCCTTGCCCTCTGCT